ACTTGAAATGAAGGAGAAATTGTTCTTACTGTCCTTTCGTTTTATGTTTAGTATTTAGCGTAGAATAACTGCAACATACAGACTCTTGCCTTGAGGACGTTCTGGACAAAGCTTGAAGTGGCAGAGGGGTTTGTAATTGTATTGCCTGCATGGCTTCAGAGACAATGTGACAGGTCGCTCTCCAGGCTGACAGTGTGGATAAGATGTAGCCCACAGCGCCTGTGGCAACTGTTGGAGCCTTCCCATTCTTCCTGTCTGAACCCCACCCCTCTCTGTCTCTCTTTTGGCCCTGTCTCTCCATTGTTCTCTTTCTTTTGTACTCCCTCCCTGCCTCAGTCCTGTCAAAGCCTCTTCTGTGGTGGATACCAGGTTACTAAGACCACTGACCCCTCATCTACCTGGCCAATGACTCTATTCTCCATTTGCCCTACTGGTTGGTCCTTTTGGGGTTGCATCTCTGTTGGTGATAAAGGAAAATGAGCAGTGGGTGAGTGGCCAACAGTTTGGCCACGGGTGGGCCACTCACCAGCTTTACGGCCCTTGTGCAAGTCACTACCTTCCAGGGTCTCCTTTTACTCAGTTGCAAAATGAAGATGTGACCTAGGTGACTCTAATATTGGGCGTTTTATCCCATTATCTAGAGCCCGTGAGTTCCTCTCGTTGCAAATTGGCTGGGCATGGAACAGGGTCAATGGCTCCAAGTGTTACCCGGCTCGGGAAGGAGGAAGTGCATAGGCAGGACACCACAGAAACCAGAGATGGTTCCATACTTGAGAACTGGTTATTTCTCAAGTGCGTAAGAGCAGTGGAGACAAGGTTTTGCCAGCAAATAAATAGTGGGGTAGAACTGACCTGGTGTGTTGGGAACCCTGGGTCAATCAAGGTGCAAAAGAAGGTCATTCACAAATGACCTAAATTTCATTAGGGTTCTAGTGCATTCCTGATCAATAGGGCTAACTTGCACTGACAACAACATTTTGAGTTCCCTCTGAAATGGGGAAAGTGGAATCACAGTAACAATGGCTCCTCGGTTCGGATATAAATCCACTTTCGTGCCATTTATATAATCGTCTTAACTGCCCTGTGAGGGAGTGGGGGCAGGGGGTTTTGGTCTCATTTTACGGATAAGCAGACTGAGGCCCAGAAACCTTGAGTGGCTTGTCAGTGGGTGCTCAGCTTGTGAATGGTAGTGATAGGCCTGTTCCTGAAGCTCCAGCCTTACATCGATGATTTTTAGGGAGGCTGGGAGAAAGACCAAGATAGAAAGTTAGTGAAAGACCAGCATCGGCTTCCTATACTGTAAGTAAGGTGTCTTCAGAGCAGCATTTAGTGTGAAGAGATGAAAATTAAAAGTGAAATTCAATGTAGTTGTAGCTACTAGGAAATATAATCTGAGAGTTAAATTTCCAGTTAAAGAAACACATGAGTAAAGTTTCACTTTCTTGAAAATGATGACACTACCAAAGATATGACATGGTTTCTGATTGGAGATAATGAAGCAAAAGCAAAATACAGGTTCTTTGTAGCAAGTGTGGACAATTTTAACATCAGCGTAGAAAGTCAACTCAGAAAATCCCCAAACATATTTTTTTGTCTTCGGGGCGGTGGGGGGGAGTGTTGGCAGGTCTCGACTTTCAGAAAAATTGTCTGAAGATTTGACTTCATTTTCCTTGTAGGGACACAAGCCTGAGTCTGGGCTGAATCAGACCTTAAGAGAAGGAGGAAAGGAGTCACCAGAAAGTATCTCCAGAAATTAAGCTTTAGCAGAATGCAGAGAAAGTTCAAATCTCTACAGATACAACTGCTTTACTTTCAGAAAGGCTTTTTAGCATTTTTACAGCCTGTTTCCATCCCCAAGTAAGCCCACCTAATGCTTTTCATAAAAACATTCCATACCACAGACATTCTTCAGTTTCTTTCATCGGGACTGCTGACTTTACACTAAGGAGGAAAAAACAGTCCCAAACAGCAGACCCCGAGCCCTGAGAGCCCATTAATAAACTTAGCCGGGTGGTGAGACAGAACTACACTCAACCTTGGTGGAATTCAAACTGCCCGTGTAGAGGAGAACCATCCAGTCCTCCAAACAAAGGCCAGCCCAGTGGTAGCTCTGAATTCCATTCCTGAACTACTGGGTTTTTAATAAAGTTGGTTAAGGGAGGGAAAACATGAATGCCTGGGAGAATCTTAAGCCTCTGGCTTTAGGAGGCCAGTTTTTCAGAGTTTATCACCTGCCAGAGAAGTATCCTCCCAGTGTCCTAAGATTATTCGATTACAGTGATAGAGGAACATCAGTTCTGGCTTATGACCCGGGGCTTTGGGAAGAGAATTACATACATTTCCTGGATTTCTTTGAATAGTCAGCAGTGGCATTCGTAGGCCTGGAATTCTTGTTTCCATCCGTGTACTTAAGATCTTAAGGGGGAGTTAGTTATAGGTCAGGGTGATCTATTCAGAAGTGTTTGAGATCACAGAGAGTGACCAGCCACCCTCCCACTGAGACCCCACAGAGCGTCTGTCACGGAGCCAGGCCTGGGTTGGAGGGATCCCTGGGAGGCCCGGTAAGAATATACCTCCCAGCTGCCTTTATGCTTTCCAGGACGTGTTCGTGTATTATTTCCTCAAACTCCTTGCACAACTCTGGAAAAACAAGGTGATTGTTACTAGCCTTCTTTCACAGAGGAGAAAGCAGGCACTGGGAGGTGTAATGATACCTGAGTAAGTGGACCTCAGATCTTGATCATCAGTCCCCAGTCTAGGAGTTTTGTGGATAAAAGACCCACGTACTACGACTCCTGAAATGCAGGCAGCAGCCAGAGTGTGCACGCTGGCACAGAAAGATCAGCAGTTCATCGCACAGAGTTCGTATTTTCCCCATGGTTCTTTGCTTAGTCTCCTCCCCACTGTTTCAGTTCTAGGACCCCCAACCACCCCATGCCTGCCCCCGCTCCCCAAGAAGGATTTGCACTGTTTTTTCTTTGTGGGTTTTGTTTGTT